GGACTCAAGAGTCCCAGGTTCGATTTCGGTCAAGGGCATGTACCTTCGTTGCGGGCACGTCCCCAGTAGAGAGTGTGCAGGAGGCAGCTGATCGATGTTTCTCTCTCATCGATGTTTCTAACTCTCTATCCCTCTCCCTTCCTCTCTGTAAAAAAGCAATAAAATTTTTTAAAAAAAGAAAATAATTTTATGGTTGGGGGTCACCACAACATGAGGAACTGTATTAAAGGGTCGCGGCATTAGGAAGGTTGAGAACCATTGCTTTAGAGGTTGCTCTGCTTAGATTCCTTCTGCACTCAGAGTTTGGGTATAGTACATAAGTCAACCAATTATGATATCTATCTCACTTTAGATTTTACTAAGCTGAAAATGGTCTTAATCTTTATCTCAGTTACACACCTCCACCAGGTTCCAACCGCAGGACCAAAACATCTTCTCTTCCATCAATTATGGGCTCAGAGTTTGGGGCGGTAAAAAGCCTTTCCCAGATTGCAACCATATAAATACGACAGACTTGAAATCAATGCCATCCCTACGTAAAAAGTTAAGTTGATTATTGAAGTTACCTCAGTGTCACCCCAATAAATTCAATTTTTAAAAAATCATCAAATGGTTGTTTTTAGGTGAAAACAAAAGGTGACAAACATGCTACTTATGGTGTAAGAGCAGAGATAAAATGGGACTATTTGTATTTGCATAAAGAAACTAGAATAGTATGAAAGAAAATACAAGTGGTCGCCTGTGGACGGTGGGTGTAGGGGACAGGTAGACAAAGACGGGGGTGGAAGGGGGACTTAACGTAGTGTACCTTAATGCATTTCTCCTGCTTTAGGAATGAGGTGGAATGCATTTCCCATTTGTAAATGTTTCCAATAAAATAAAACCATCCGATGCGATTCCTGGAGCGGGAGGGACACTATGTGCCCGGCTCTGATGCCCGCCCTTTCACCCTCGGGCTCTCTGCAGGCAGAACCTAGGCTGCTGTGAATGGGCTTCTTCTTCAACCTGCCTCTCCTCGGGGGCATTTTTATAGACTCGGCTTCCTCTGCCCTGAAGCCTGCTGCTCTCTGTTCACTGGTCTCAGGATCTGAGTCCTTCCCTTGGGGCTCCCCCTGAACCATCTCTGGGGCCCACAGCCCTCTGGTTCTCTCCTGGGTGGGGTTTCAAAGAAGGGCCCGAACACAACATGGCCAGGCAATCCACCTGAAGTTTATTCCACCAGACACACAGCCAGCTCTCTCTTCCAGCTGGCCTCCATTCCCAGCAGCTTTAAGGACATGTGGCGAGCCAGCACGGCCATGGCATACTCAGCGCCAGGGCGCCTTATGTGCCGCTCCAGCTCAGCCTGGTTCAGTGACCCTGAGAGGGGGCGGTGAAGGATGGAGAAAAGACAGACAAGAGAATGAAAGCTGGGTCTCAGTGGGACGCTGCTCCCAGATGGAGACACAGCGCCATGGGCTACAAGCCATGTCTTTATTTTATAGCAGATTCCACGAGGCAAAGTAAGGGCGTGGTCAAGATGTTTACAACATTCTCGTGGGTTTCGATCCTACTCAACTACATGCACCTGAACGCTATCAAGCCCACATCACTCAGGCACGTGGGGCCACGTGTTGGGACCATAGGTTCAAGCTCACAACTACAGCTGTTGGCCATAATTGTGCTGGGCGGGCTCTGCCCTCCACGCTGGGACTTGCACGTGGCCACGAGAGAACTGTGCCCTCTCATTAGTCCGAGGCTTGAACCTGTCCAAACACTGTAGCCGCTCTCCACAAGGACATCTTTTTAAAAGTCTGTGTCCACAGTTTGGTCAAAAGGCCATTTTACGTTTGTGCCACAAAAGGATTTTAAATTGAAAATTGGAGGTACGGATTTGACTGACATCTCTCAGGAGTATTTTAGTGAAAAAAGACCACGTACTGACATAACCCGTCTTCCCAGGTTCAGAATTGTTAGAAACCAACACTGCTTCTCACATCGAGAGGAAAAGCAGTTAGAATAGAGTACTGGTGTCTTCTTTCCCAGGGAGGAGCCACTGCCTCTTGGGAAAGTTTCTCCCTCTTCAGCACCTAGGCCATCAGACCCCATAGAACCCCCCCCCCCCAGACCAGTGGTTCTCAACCTTCTGGCCCTTTAAATACAGTTCCTCACGTTGTGACCCCCAATGATAAAATTATTTTTGTTGCTACTTCATAACTGTAATTTTGCTACTGTTATGAATCGTAATATAAATATCTGATATGCAGGATGGTCTTAGGCGACCCCTGTGAAAGGGTCGTTCGACCCCCAGAGGGGTCGCGACCCACAGGTTGAGAACCGCTGCCCTAGAGGTAAGAGGACAGGTGGCCTAGGGACAGGTGGCATTGCAGGAGGTTAGCCCTGCTGATCAGAACTGGCCCTCGCTGCAAGGGGCCTGTAAGGAGGTTCAGAACAGCCCACCAAGTGGTCCCCTCAGTTGCACAAATGAATTCCGTTTTCTGTTCCCAAATGAAGAGTGTAATTTCGTGGGACCATTGTGTCAAGTTGGATGGGATCCAAAAAAGTTTCCACATGAGGATGATGTCTCCAGAGCCTTGGTGTTCACAGACACAGACCAAAGATCGCTTACGCGCCACTTGACGGAGGGACCAACCTCCTCTAAATGGGGCTGTTCTCACCGGCCAGTTCCCAGCTCCAGGGGGAGGTGTTAGGGACTTTGTGACAAAGGAGAGAGACCAGCGCCTTGTCTGCAGATGTGGGTGTGAAAGGCCACAGCTGGAGCCCCTCACACACAGCAGGCCTCTCTTCAAAGTCCAGTAGAAATCGAACTCCAGGAGAGAGAGCAGCAGGCCCCCGGCCTGAGGAGGGCTGGGTGAATGCAGCCCCTGCCCAGCCCTCCAGGGCCGTCCTCTGCTGGCCTCTGGACCCTTGTCCTGTACGAAGCAAGTCACCCCTGGACTTTATCTGCAGCCACCTCAATGAAACTCCTTTGCTGCTTCCTGCTGAAC